CCTTCCTTCCTTCCTTCCTTTCTCTCTTTATATTTTTTAGTTAATCAGTTTCAATCTGTTGATCCAGTTTTATATTTTATTCATTCATTCTTTTTCTTCAGCTTCTTTTCTTTCTTACTTCCCTTCCCCTTAAAAATTTCCGAAAACGGACTGGTTCTCAAAAACTTGATTTGTTATAGTTTTGAACTAAACCCCCCACAATCATTGGAAGGGTGCTATCCCCTTGGCCTATGCATTACTCAGCACAATTCGATTCGTCTTCAAAGTGAAGTGTGACAAGAATCACGTCCATAGATCGAAGCATCTCCAACTTCACCCAATCACAACTTCCGTACCATCGACCCCCACCGGCCCAAAACGTGTCCGAATCATGCCGACCAATGAACGTGGGTGTTGGAAAACCACGCGACCTTTGAAAAAGAACATTTCGATCAAGAAGCATCGATTGATAATCAAGATGTTGGGACGACAAAAACTGATTTTGTTGGCAAAAACAAGTCGTGCTTTAAGCACAAGTGCTGTAAATCATGCTAAATTATCGTATCAGTTTGTGGTCGTTGGTGGAGGCGCCGGAGGGCTATCGATCGCTTCATCTTTGTGCAGAGCTTTTGGCAAGGGGAAAACTGCAGTTGTTGAGCCATCAGAGGTAAAACTTTACTGTCTGTARATTTGTTAGGCGTATGTTTCTGTAACTAATGCATTATAAAACGTGTTTTGACTTGAAATATTGATTATAATAATAGCATTTTGCATATCTAGTTCTAAGTAGGACAGATTGAATCACCTCCAGGTGATAGCACTTATAGTCTGTTGCATAACAGCGATTTCTCAGTCCTTCTTTTGGAGATAAAAAAATCTGTACGCATTTAATTTTGCGTTTTACATCTTAACATTTCATTTGTATTTTGAAGCTTATTTATTTTGTGAAATATAACGTAAACATTGAGAAAACTAATTAAACATTGTTTCTTTTAAGACAAAACGGGAAGAAATAGAGATACAGTAAATTTGCTTATTTAGAACTAAAAACTTTTTTAATAAGTTCAACTGAGGGTTGGCGAAAAAAAAAWTTTTTTGTATTGCAATAGATTTTAGATTGAGATAGAGTTTGTATGCTTTTCTGGAATATACCCTCCTCAGACCCTCCCCACCCTTTGGAAATTCCAATCCCCCTTCATGGGGGAGGGGGGGGTGGATATTTTCTGGAACTACACGATATATCCTCCACAGACCCTCCCCATCCCTTGGAATTTCCAATCCCTCTCCTTGGTGGGAGGTATGGATATTTTCTGTAACTACACAATAAACACTCCTCAGACCCTCCCCACCCCTTGGAAATTCCAATCCCTCTCCTTGGGGGGAGGTATGGATATTTTCTGGTATTACATAATATACCCTCCTCAGACCCTCCCCACCCCTTGGAAATTCCAATCCCTCTCCTTGAGGGGAGGTATGGATATTTTCTGTAACTATGCTACTGCTTCTGAGACCCTCCCCACCCCTTGGAAATTCCAAATGCTACGAACAGGTATGAAGTCCAATTTTTAAAATACTTATTGCAGTTCCATTACTATCAACCACTATGGACATTAGTAGGGGGAGGAATAAAGCCATTTAGCGACTCGGCAGCTCTGACAAGTGACGTGATGCCACCTCTTGCGAGCTGGTATAAAACAGCAGCTGCAGAATTCCAACCAGATAAGAACTTAGTCCTTTGTGAAGATGGTACGGAGGTAGGTTGACCATCAACAATCTATTTAATAATTAGGATAAAATCAATACTAAATTATCGCCCGGAATAACCTCGTTCCCAAGCACTATAACTTATCYATAYTTCTAYATTTTCATGTATTTCATAAGTGCTACGCGGTCTACATATTCTCAATAATAACTAACATCAGATGTTTTCTAACTCTTATGTTTCAGCTTGCTTATGAGTACTTGATTGTTGCCACTGGTCTGCAGCTTAGATTTGATTTGGTAAGGAATGAGTTCTCTAATTAATGCTTTTAAAATTACCAATTTGAAATGTGAGCTAAATGTTTTGATCATCCAAAGGTTGTTTCAGGGTTTGAATTTGTGAGTTAGCCATGCCTGAGGTTGTTTCAGGGTTCAATCTGTCAGTTAGCCCTGCTGTGAATTAGATCAGCCCAGGAGTTGTTTCAGGGTTCTATCTGTGATAATTAGCTATGCCCTGACTTAGATCAGCCCAGAGGTTGTTTCAGGGTTTGATCTGCGATTTAGAAGTACCCTTACTTAGAAAAAACCCTCAAAACACTGGAGATAATAAATATCAACAAACAACTCTTCTCACATACAACACTAAGCCTGGCAGGGCTTGAACCAGGGTTGCATTGGCGAAAGGCAGCACATTTGCAGTGCATGCCATCTATAATGCTTCTTTTAAAATCAGCCTGGTACCATGTGTCAGCCTCTGGAGGATTTTTTTCAGGGTTCCTTTTGTTAGTAATAAATGTACTTAAACATTGAATGGAAATAGTAGTATAATTTATACTCTTTATATTTTCAGGTCAAAGGTCTACCAGAGGCTCTCCATACACCTGGCGTTGGATCAAACTATTCACGAGACACAGTGTTAGATACTTGGAAGAATATTCAGGACTTTGTTGGTGGAAATGCCATCTTTACATTGCCAAACACACCAATCAAGTGTCTTGGAGCTCCACAGAAGATCATGTACATCACAGAAGAACAGATTAGAAAAGTATTATATACACACAGATACTTTCTTTATATGTTTTGCTTGCAAACTTTTAACTGAATTTCACAAACTCATTGATAATTCAACATGGGGATAAAACGAAGAACGAGGTTTGGAAATGTGATCTTAATTCACCTTTTCAGCTATAGCCATCACGTCGTAAACACTTTGTTGGATTGACTGTGTTAGGGTCACCAAAAAGTTTGGACATTGTTCCTGAATTCTCATACAAATTCACTGAGTTTACCTTTTTTGTCTTCAAGTGCTTGAAAGCAAGGATATTATTCTATTCCATTCCATTCCATTCCATTCCATTCTATTCTATTGTAATGCATTTACCACTCCTGGGTGGACAGCTTAATATCTAACAGGTTTTGCAATCCATTTGATAAGACAACTGATAGATTGAATTAGAATTTAGAAGATGCATGATTTTTGTGAAGGGGGAAAATACCAGAGAACCGGGAGGAACAACCCTCAAAGCACAGGAAAGAGCCAACAAACAACTCTTAAACTAGGGTGGCGTTGGCGAGAGCCAAGCTAAAGTTTCAACATGGATGCTTGTCATATTTGTGCTATCAACCTGCAGCAAGTATCACCAGTTGCTTGGTGTCAATCAATTGAATGAATCAAATAAATTTTAACTTTTTTTTACTCTGCAGCAAGGTGTACGCCACAGGAGTAATGTGATATTTAACACTGCTCTTGGAAAGATATTTGGCGTTAAAAAATATGCCGATGCTTTGACCAAGATTATCAATGAAAGAGACATTAAAGTAAACTTCTTTCGTAACCTTGTTGAAGTGAATGCAGACACGAAGGAGGTAGTGTTTGAGGTGTTGGATGCAGCAAATCCAAATGAAAAGAAATATGAAACCTACAAGGTACTGTACCAGGTGATCTAGTTTTGACAGCCCATCAAAAAGCAGCCAATCATTGCGCAGGAAAAGGTCTTGTTGAGATTACTCATGCGTGCATGTATGTGTTAGTAGCATTCTTTAGATTCAATTAATCCGTTTTCCTTTCCCCTTTGGGAACATTAACATGTGCATAATTAGATTTGTAATCCTATCAAATTTAAATAACATACTATGAATCCCACCGAACTGTGGCAGTGCTTCAAAAATGCATGTCGCTACCATGCATGCATACATTAGTATGCTGACACACCCATAATTGTAAGTTTCATC